AGTTTGGGAAATCCATCCCAAAGCAAGGCCACTCTCCAGCCTGGCTGAGCAGAGCCAGGACAGAGCCCAGAAGTGACCTCTGAGAGCTCCACACCACCGGAGCCTGAGCAGGAACATCTCCTCATGGGCACGGGGGATGTGGTTGGGCACAGTTCCTCTGGGGTGGGACCAGGGATGAGCAGGAGGGACACAGTGGGATCCCTGGGGGGGATGTGGTTGGGCACAGTTCCTCTGGGGTGGGACCAGGGATGAGCAGGAGGGACACAGTGGGATCCCTGGGACACAGGAGGGACACAGTGGGATCTCTGGCCGGCTGTAACACCTTCCCCTTGCCTTGCCATGGACCTGTCAGTGCCAAACCCACGCCGGAGGAGGTGCAGGGCTGGGCACAGTCCTTTGACAAGCTGATGAAGAGCCCGGCGGGGCGCAACGTCTTCCGGGAGTTTTTGCGGACTGAGTACAGCGAGGAGAACATGCTCTTCTGGCTGGCATGTGAGGAGCTCAAAACCGAGTGCAACAAGCACACCATCGACGAGAAGGCCAGGATGATCTACGAGGATTACATCTCCATCCTCTCTCCCAAGGAGGTAGGAGGCAGAGCCTCCGAGAGGAGGGCTCATGCTAAAATGGGGAGGGCTCTTAGGGAGAGGGCTCAGTTCCAGCTGCTGCCAGAGCCCTGTGACAGTTTGGGGATGAGTTTGGAAGGGTGACGACGGTGGGAAGGGGATATCCAGCCCCCCAAAACCCCCGGGACGCTGCTGGCAGTGGAACTGCGGGCCGGGTTGTGCTGCGGGGCCGAGACCTCACGAGGGCACCAGCGGGCCGGGAAAATGCTGCATCCCGGCTTACAGCATCCCTGGAATGGGGTACCCAGGGCGGGACCACCCCAAACCACCTCCGTGTGCCCAGCTGGGGGACACAGAGGGGACCCAGAGAGATCCCCACGCCTTCCTGCAACCCTCCCCAGCCACCAGGGCTCCAGTGCCAATATCTTCTGCGATGGAGCACACTGTGGTCTCCCCACATCTGGTGCTGCATTATTCCCCAGTTTCCCTTGAGAGGGGTGCAGTGGGCTGGGGGCTTGTCCTTGGGTGTTCCACAGCCCCCACTTTCTCTCCGTGCCCCCCAGGTGAGCCTGGACTCGCGGGTGAGGGAGGTCATCAACCGGAAGATGCAGGAGCCGTCCTCGCACACCTTCGACGACGCACAGCTCCAGATCTACACGCTGATGCACAGAGACTCCTATCCCCGCTTCCTGAACTCTGCCATTTACAAATCGCTGCTCCAGACCGTCTCCCACTCCTCCTCGGAGTCCTAAGGGCACCCACTAGCCGTGGGGACAGCAGTGGGGACATGGTGGCCAGGGGCGGTCGGTGCCTCCTCCCCTCTGCCGTCCTCCTTGCCAGACCTCACCGTTTTTAGCTTTTTACCTATGAACTGTCACCCCGGTGTCTGGGCCACACTGCAGGACTGTCCCCAGGACACAGCCTGGGCCAGTTCATACTACTGATTCTCTGCCCTGTCCCCAGTGCTGGCCAGAGCGAGCTGGGGGAGCACAGGACAGCACCCAGGGCCTGGCTCCCCCCACACCCTGTTTGGAAGAGGTCACTTTATCCCATTTCCACACACCTGGGGACACAGCACGTCCCCATTTGCCACCTGAGACCCAGCTGGGGGGTTTTTGAGGTGGGGGGGACGTCGACTGTTGTTGGTTTGGGTTTGTTTTTTTAATTTTAAATGCTCCTTTGGTTGGCTTTTACTGGGGGACTTGAGGTGCGGGAGGGGGGTTGACGAGCATCTCTGTACATATAAAAACTTGTCAGGTTTACCTGGTTCCAGCTGTTTGAGGTGGCCCAAAGGGCAGGGGAGTGGTGCTAAAGGCTGTTTGTGTTCCTGGTGGGGCAGAGGGCAGAGCTCTGAGGTGCCATAAGGGACCCATGGGGATGTGCTGGGGGGTGAGCAGATGTCTTACAGCTCCCCATGACACATCAGCACTGCTTCAGCCCCAGGACACCACACACAGTCACCCCAAGCGCAGAGCATCCTCCACCCTTGGTTCATGGACCTCAGAGAGGGGGGGAACACCTGTGCAGGTGTTGTTTGCCCTCCTGCAGAACCCTCAGGATGCCTGCATCAGAGCTCCCAGCTGACCCAGGCCTGCTCTGCCAGCCAGGAGAAGCCCAGGGGTCTGCCCTGGTCCCTCACTGAGAAGGGATCTGGGTTCCATGCAGGATGGAAGTGTCACAGGGAGGATACAGAATTCCCATGTTTTTGCACAGCACAAGGAATGATTTACTAAAGGCTCAGTATGCAGGATTAAAACATGTCTGTCCCTACCCTTCACACTGAAACAAAGCCAACACAGGGGTTTTGCTGCCAGTCTTTGCTTCTCCTGATCCACCACAGCAGTTTCTTATTTATCCATCCCTTCCCCTCCTCTCTTCAGCCCTTCCAAAAGAAAAAAAATGCTTTTTATTGAACATATTTTTTTAACAAACCAATTCTTTCAGCTTTTTTTTTGTTGTTTTTGTTTCCTTCCTTCCTCATGGCATGACTGTGTGGAAATTCATGTCAGTAAATTTAGTTTTCTTTGCCAAGCTGGAAATACAGTTCAAGAAAATGTATTTTTGAGAGAGACCAGCAATGGTTTATTAGGAATGTCGGTATTGTTATTATTGGCAGGTTTTTCCCCAGTCTGCAACCTTACAGCATCCCCACCCTGCACAGGGGAAGTTTTAGTTCTGGGTTCATTCTGTGAGTAAGGGAAATACTCTCAAATGTGGCCCCAGCCTGAGGGTTGGAGGTTGAACATCCCTGAAGCTGTTCAAGAGCATGGCTGGGGGTCAGAATCCCTCCACACAACACAGAGGTCTCAGCACAGGGAAGACCCCACTGCCATAAGATAATCTAGTTTTTCTCTTGCTCCCACTCCATTTTAAACACCCTACAAGCAAATCTTTACTTCTGAAACACCTTTTTATCCATTCTGCTTCCCCTCCCTGGCTCTCCTAGAAAATGAAACTGTAAAATGACATGGTAGTTTTCCCAAACTCCTGCTTGGGACTCTTGGTACCTAATTCAGGATTGTCAGAAGGCTGTACACAAGCTCAGCTCCACTCCTCACAGGAACACAAGAAGAAATGCAAGAGGCACTGGTAAAGAGCTGGCTCCCTTTCCCAGCACATGAGCCAGTGCTGTGGTCAGCGTGGGTTTTAGATCCTGAAGCTTTTTCAGCAGCACTGTGAGGACACTGCTCCCTCCCAAGCCTGGCTTGAATAATCCCATTCACCACAAGACTCGTGAGGCTTAAAGGAGTTGTCAGCGTCTTTGAATATTTTCCTTCTTGGGAGACTTGGCTGCACCCTGTAAAGTGAAAGCCCTGAGCGAAGGATGCTGGTGGGATCCCTGCCTCCGGAGCAGCACAGCCCTCAAAGGGGCTGGGAGCACGTTTTCCGCTGCTTTCATGTGGCTGCTTACTCCTCTCCAAACATCTCCGAGGTCTCTGCTCAATGTCTGCTGTCTGGCATGCTGGGAAGCCAGTGGAAATACTTGTTTTTCACTCTGGAAGAGGGAAGCAATGCCATGAGATGTGATTGCTCCTGCCCTGCCCATCAGCACAAGAGCTGGAGGGCACAGCATTGCTCCTGGGCAGCCTCAGACCCACAGAGCTTGCTGGGGTCCCCCAAATGCTGCATCGCCCCAGCTAAAGGCTATGAAAAGGAAAGAACAGGGATTTTAAGTCTGGCTGAAAGCTGTTGTGAGCTCAGATGGAATTTCCCCACCAGGTTTTAGTTAGCTCTCAGAAGGAGCCTGATTCTGTATTTCGCCTTCACAGGGTCACATCTGCAGATGTGGCACCTGGGGCTGGCTTTGCTACAGGATCCTTTCCGTATCTGACCCCTTCCAAGCACCAGCTCTGAGCTCACTTCTAACCTCCTCCACTTCCACAGCTAAGTGCCAACAGCTCCCACCTATCCCTCTAGCCCTTACCTTGTCCAGATCCAAGCCTCTGGAAAAATTCCTGTATTTGCAGCATTTTCCCTCCTCCTGAGCCTCTCCAGCAAGCCCCTCTGAAACTCCAGGCTGTTTCTCAGCTGTCAAGCTACAAGCAGAGCACAAACAGGAAAGTGCCTGGCACTCACCTTGAACAGTTTGGGGTGGGATTTACTGTGGCTGTTGTCATCCTGCTCTCAGTCTGTTACAACCTGAGCAGTGCATTCTGATCTTTGCAGCAGCTGATGCTGTTGGCATTTAAAGGCTCAAGATGACAAGCAATCAGTGCAAAATCCAGTGAATGCTGCCAAGATGGAAAGCAACATCTGATCTCTGCCCCAAAAGCTGTTTCCTGTCAACAGTACTGCCCACCCAGCTGCCCCAGGCCGTGGTTGAGATTCCATGAGGTGACAGAAACAAGCCTTCACACACCAAGGGTGTGCCTGCAAGTCACATCTCACTTTCTGCTGCTCCAGGCATTATTCAGTCCTCATCCACCTGGACACAGATCGCCTGTCAAGTTCCAATGCTGGAAAAACAAAGTGCTTCACACACAGTTGAAATAAAAGTCAGAAACTGACAAAAATGTTTAATATTAGTTTTGAAGAGAAAGTGACCGTACTCGCTTAGATGAGAAAGTAATGACTGGGTGTGTTTAGTGAGCTCTCCTGCCAACCTGTCAGCCCATGGCTGTGGCTCTCTGCGAGGCCCAGGCCTCCCTGCTGCTGCTCTCAGCGTGTGACAATGCAAACTCACTGGGACACAAAACACAACTGCCGTGGGAGCCGGCGTGCGGAGGCTGCGCTCGGGTCTGCGTTTGGCTGCCGCTCTGGGCCTTGGCACGTGTCAGCAGAACTGCAAGAGAAGGGAGTTCAAACCCCATTAGAAACCTCACTGCTAAGAAGGTAAGGATCCAGGTGTGGGCTTGTTCAGAATCTGGCAAGGGCTTGGGGGTTCTCAGAAGTGGGGGCAGAGGGAGCTCCCATGTGAATCTCTTGTTGTGGCTCTTTGGCACTTTGTAGTGGCATCATTTCTGCTCGCCACTGACCAGATTTCTGCTCACCCCTGAGCTCTGTGCACAGCATGAAAGAGCCACTCTGAAATCCTGAACATCATCACCACTACCCTCAGAGGCAGCATGGAAAGCACAGTGAAGCTGGTTGTGGAAGAAGGGACATGAGAAGAGAGCAGGGAATGTGGAAATGAGACTTGACCCCAGCTGGTCTGCAGGGATGAACCCAGGAGCTCTTGCCTCTGTGCTGAGAGGGAAGATCAGTCTCTAGAGCCAGTGAGGGCTTGGCAAGCACCTCTGAGGAGCAGCCAAGTGCCTGCAGCATGCTGGGAACAGCCCCCACCACCCCTCAGTGCCAGTAACAGCCCTGGTGTGCTACCTTCCAGCGATTCCCACACTCATTGCACACGACGAAGGTGGTCATGGGCTCATCGGAGCTGCGGGTCTGCACCTGGGGGGACAGAAGGGAGGTGAGAACTGAGCATCACACACGGCCCTGAGCCTCTGGCCTCCAGGGGTTGGTGCTGGGCTCACAAAATCAATGAGAGACCAAGGTTTGGGATGGCAAAAGGAGCTTTCCAGTAAAATCAGTCTGGTGGTTGTGTTACACATAATACACACATCATAACCCCCTTCAGCCTGACATTACCTCAGTGACAAGTTTTGGGACAGTGTATTTCCCTCTTCACTACATCTGCTGTCCATTTCTTGCAGGTGACTCTGGAAGTGGACATGCACAGCCAATCCCTCCCCAAACTGTCCCCCAGGAAGGGATGTGGCCAGCACTGCCATGACAAACCCCTCAGTCCCAAGCACAAAAGCATTAAAAAAGCACTCCAGTCATTCCCATTTACAGAGCAGTCCAACATCCTGGCCTCACAGGAACACACTCCGGGTTACCAGGTTCTGCACAGTTCCAGTCTGGTTTGTGTTTAAGCCATTAAGGAACTCTGATATTTAACCCAGATGTGATTGCTGCCTCTGACTGGCTCTTGCCAGAAACACATACTTTAGTAAAAACCAGATTTTCATGGCATTTGAATACCACAAGGCAGATCTAGACTGAAAACACTGGTACTCCCCACACCAGTCAGGCAGAACTGTGCTGAGGGGTGATTATGGTGATCTATGTGTGTAATTACCCCATGTGCAAGAGTCACAGTATTTGCATGATGCAAATTAACCATTTTTACAAGAATGCTGGATAGCTGAATTCTGTAATTCTCCCCCTTTACTGTCTGCTTCCAACATGTTCATAAATGCCAGTGCATGTACTTGAGACTTACATCTCATCACCCACTAGTGATTTCACTAGGAAACAAAGTACAGAAAGCCTGATATTGCTATTTAGAGGACACTGCTGTCTCCTGTTCAAATTCCAGTCACTTAAACTCCAGTCCACTCCAGGTGGAGACAGTGCTGGGAGTGTGCTGGGACAGTCCAGGAATGCTTACTGGGAGCACTGGCAGAGCGAGGCCCCTTTCCTGAGCCAGCCTGTGGGATGTAAGACTGCTGCTGAGCCAAAGGAAACTCCCTGGTCAGACTCCTGGATCTCCTTCTCTTTCCATGTGTTTGTATGTCAAGTCCAAGCAGATGCAGGAGTCTCAGCCGGCACTTGCACACGCAGTTTGTGCGCAGTCACTCAGCAGCAATCTGGTGGCTGCTGGTGCATTTTTGGGTATCTGCACATTCTAAACCACTGATTCACAGCAAAGGCACATTTATCTCCAGATGCCTGGCACAAACATGGGAGCTAAAAAGCACTGGTAATGCACAAGGCTTCCAACAGCTGGCCACGGGGAAGAAAAATCCTCTGTCTGCTCACATCACAGCTTCCTTTATTCCTTTTGTTTCACTCATTTCATGCTATTTGAGTTTAAATAAGTTGGGACTCATCCAGCTGCAGGTAATCTATATTCTTAATTTGTACTTTTAATACCATCAACATGTCTGAGTCAGTTTCTGCAGCCTCGCCTCTACACTACCCACTCCTTTCTTGTCTGAATCCCAGCATTCCCAGCACCTGCTTTCAGTGTAGAGCACTGCTGAACTTTTGAAAGCTTCCTCAGTGCTGCACAACTCCTGCTCTTGTTCAAGTGAGCCAAAATTTACACAAGCTCACAGAAACATGTGTGAGTGTTTTCTGTCCACCAGTAGCAAAATTTGAGTTGTGCTGCAGGGCCTGTCACAGAGCAAAGCGAGCTTGTGACCATGACAGATCATGGCCTGTGCAGAGGCCAAGACAGGAGCAGGAAAACCAACCTGGGTGTAGGTGCAGTTCTTCTTCTTGCATTTCCCACAGGTGAAGAGGTCAGTCTGTGTCCCTCCTGTCTTGGCCATCTGATGCTCCCGGATTGCTTCTTTTGTCATGGCTTTCCTGATCTCTTTCAGCTCATTACTGGCCATTTCCTTTCAGAAAAAAAAAAAAAAAAAAAAAAAAAGAAAAAAGGCAATAAAATCACATCTGCCCAGTTTTACCACCACACCCACTACAGTGGAAACAGCCAACAGGACAAGGCAGCCTAACAGATGGGCATTAACACAGAAAGCCTGTTCCAATTCTGGTTTCTGGTTCATACCCAGGGCCCTGGGATGATGGGAAGGCCCAACAAACCACTCTCCACACTGCAAACCCCACTGCAAGCTCACTCCATGCATTCTGACAGCAGCTAGTGAGAAAACTGCAACCCTTGCAGCAGCCCAGCTAAGCCTCAGGACATCCCCTGTGAGAAGCAAACCCTGCTCCCCAGGCTCCCTCACCTCCGAGGTCATCACAGCAATCTGCTCAGGGGTGATGGCCCCACACAGCACGTTCTTTTTCAGCTCGGGATTTTTGGAGTCCTTCAGGTTGGAGATGCGGCTCCTCACGCGGTTTTTGTATTTCATGTCGGTGTTCTTGACATCCTGGTAGATGCGTGAGGGCAGTCAAGGAGCCTGCAACCAACCCAGAGGCATCAAGCACTTCCCAGCCACCCGTGAAGAGCAGGGACTGTCATCCACTGCCAAGATGGAGGTGCTGGGACACGACAGCAGCATCTGCTCTGGGAGGTCAGTGCTGGACTTGAGAGCAGGTTTATACAATCCCAAACTCCAGGGGCTTCCAGCTTGGGCTTTTTCACTGTGCTGGAAATATTCAGCTATGCTCAGGTTCTACAATCTCCCCTTTGTCTCAGCAAGGCAGCCACAAACCCCTACACTAAGAGAGCCCAGCTGCACCTCCAACCCCACAGTTCCTAAATCAAGCAAATTCCCCACATAAGGCTTATCTCACATCACCATGCAACTTGATCCTCACTGCTCCATCCTTTCCATTGCTTTTGTCTAGATCAGCACACTCTCCTCAACAGGGAGCCCAGGGAAGTTGCATGTATTTGGAAGCAGAATCAAAAGCAGGAAACAACACCCTGATGAGAAGAACAAACAAGGGATTACAGTCTCTGAGCTCCAACTCCACACTGGTAGTTCCTTAGCAGACCCAGAGCCCTGACAAGCTGCAGCAGAACATTTATGCACAGAGAGTCCCATTTTTCCTTTGAGCACATGGATTTCTCTGCTGGAGGCATGCAGGAAGCACAGTACAGCAAGGATATACTCTTCAATCTGGGCTGCTATGTGCTCGCAGTCAGCACCGATGGTGATGTAGTCGTCTGTAAGACAGCACAAACAGGAGCTCAGTGCCTTCCAACCACACCAGGGCTCCCCACGCTCACTGTTTCTGAGCTACACATCTGGACAGCTTGCTGGTTTGATTCACATGCTCTTCCCATCAAATGGCATCTTGGCCTTTGCTCTTGCTACCCTCTGACCCTTTGGAAAAGGGCAATGATGAAAATGGATTAATCTAGCCAGTCTGTGCCCTGTGCCTCTCTAGGATATGGACTGCATGAGACAGAGCTGACAACAGCCTAAGAACTTATTAGTTTTCCAATATATTTTTCATACTATTGAAATCAAATGTATATAGGCAGGAATTGAGTTTCATCAGATATTCACCTCAATAAGTAACTCTACTCAGACCAACCATCTGGGAGGGCCTGGAGGTGTGCAGCATTGGGATCAAGCCTTCCTTTCTCATCTCACCTCAGGACTGTCTGCTCCTCCCCTCTTCCCCCACACACCAGTTAAACAGCATCATACAGAGCGCATAACTGCCATGGATTTGGACAGCCAGTATGATAAACACCATAAAGGAAGGAAGGTAGGGCACAGCTGAGCTTAGGGAAAGACTCAAGGGAACTCTTTCCCAGATTTCATATGGAAAGGGTTTTTCTAAGAGCTGTGCAATGTATTTAATGCAGCATACAAAGACATGCATGGGAAGGCTAGAAATAAAGACCTCATGAACTTCTCCATCTGTCATCTACATTCCTTGGCTCCAAATTAATAAGACTCTGCAGTGCTTAGACCCCAATTTTTTTAAGCGATCTGCAATGTGGACACAACCAGATGCTCAATTTCCAGACATGCTGAGTACCTGCCTCTCACTTGAGATGGCACAGTCTGAATGCAAGAGGGATCTGTTCCACCCCAGATCCAGAGGACCACAATATTTAAAGGGCTCCTGTCTGCAAAGGCAGCAGAGCCTTACAGCAGATGCTGCCTGGCATAAGCACCATCCCTACAAAGTCCATGTACTGAGTTACAGCTTGACATTGTGCCCCAAGGTTGGCAGGGAAGACAGCTTCACTTAACAGCAATCATAAAAGATGTAGAAAGCGAAGCAAATCTCTGCACACCTGAAAGATTAAACTTCAGCAAAGACCACCCCATGTTGCAACCCTGTGTGACAAACCCTGTGTTCTTAACAGCCATTGCTTTGCACATTGTCATGCCTCCAGCTCAAGCCTGGTCCCTGTGTAAGAGTCTGAAAAAGCTGCAACAGCAGCCAGTTCATCAAATGGGTGACCAGTGGCTAGACTGAGCTGCTGGCAATAATCCTTTGACAAGGCTGCTCTAGAACAGTATGTCTAAGCTGAGCTGGCACTGAGAGTCTCTGTGAGAATGATCTAGGAGCTGTGAAGCACTTGAGGCAATGCAGAGCTTCCCCCAGCACTCACCATCAGCCTGCAGAGCTGCCGTCAGCATCTCCCTGCATTTGTTGCGCACAGCGTCACACGTGACGGGGGCCGGAGGGAAGGTGGTGATTTTGGGGGTGGTCGGAGTCTTTGGAGGCTCCTGCCTTTTGGTGGAGCTAAAAGAAAAACTTCACCTGTCAGAATGTCTCAGTTTGGGCCACTGAGAGCAGAGAAGGAAGCAGCAGGTATGTGGCCAAGCATCCTGTTAATCACAACACAGAACCAGTCAGAACACAGTGCAAAGTCATTGTCCCAAACCAGCACAGAGCACAGCATGGCAGCCAACGCCCTCAGCCCAGACACAGCTCTCCTGTGGACACTGCTGGCTGCCAGCTGAGGTTTAATCCATGAACAGTCTTGTGTTATTCAACACACATCAGCTGCTGCACCACTGGGCATCAAGTGAAAACATCACTGTTGAACACCACCAGTAACCCAAATACACTCAGGACATCTGAGACCATCAGCACTCTCAGTTTGGCACTGCAGAGCAGATTCATGGTACTTCTTTCCTCTTTAACTTTGCAGGACACCAGGCCTATAACTGCTCTCAGCAGAAAGCAAGCAGAAAGCTCCAGAAGAAGGAGCTGTGCTAAGAAAAACAAAAAAACAAAACAAAAAAAAAAGGCTCCTTCAGCTTTGATATTTAAAAAACAACAACAAAGTATAGCACATAAAAGGTTCTTCCTTTTTCCTGTAATCTGAGCAAGACTGATTACTCATCTCACAGAAGAGCAACCCTACACAGCCACACACAGCTCATACAGGGGTCAGGCTAGCACAGGACTAAGAAATACTGCTTTGCTCTTAAAAATAACTCCATTTCTACCTGCAGGCAGTCATGGGCACAGGCAAGGGAATGCAAACACCTGCCTGCTGTGGCTGACTCAGTCAGGTCACCTGCCAGGGGAGCAGGATGGAGACCTGCCTGCACAATCAGCACATGATGTGGGCAGGCTGAGTCACCGCTGCAGGGTCTGCATGCAGAGAAGGAACCTCAGTGAGCAGCTCAGCTGGTTGTGCACACAGAAAGCCTAACATCTGCACATGGTGTTAGTCAGCCCTGCAAATACTGCTGGTAAAAGATCTGGATTAGTATGAATCACAGATGATTTTCTAGAGCTTTGTTCTCCCCCCTAAATCTAGGCAGAACAACAGCAATTTATTTTTTTCAGCAGAGATTGCTCTGGCTTTGGTGATTTGGCTGCAAAATGCCTGGTACCATTATTGCACAAAGAGAAAGAAAGGGGAAAAAAAGAAACCTCAATATTCCACCCCTGGCATGCCAGCAATATCTTCTTGAAGATCCAAGTGGCTTGACAAATTTTGTTAAGCTGGGTCACTACTGCCAGTTCTTTGCCTTCAAAAATAAATTTGTTATGAACAAGCACTTCCACTACACTGTCCTGGAAGAGATTAGTCAGCCCACAAAAAAACAGCACTAAGCTGGAAACCTTCTGAATCTGCTGCCACACAAACTGAGCCAGACGACTTTAGGGACTTATCCTGTGACTAAGGTCATATCCAGTCTGGCTCAAATCCCACAGATCATCACTGGGGCTACCAGATTTTCTCAGTTCAGAACCTCTTGGTTCTTTTCAGAAGCATCCATCAGTGAACCTTCAGCAAATGGTTCACATCAAAACAAAACAGAACTTTGATTTCTTGCTTATATGAATGAGATGATGCACTCTGTGAGGGAGATTGTACTGTCAGCTCACTGTGTTTTACTGACCAGTAGCTGAATAAAACCCCTTTTTACCAGTTGGTTATACTGGTCAGCACTGCAGGATCTTATTAAAGAACAGATTTGTGTTCAAGCAGCTCAAAACATTCAATAGGATTTACACTGCATGTGTTACAAAAAGAAGAAACAACTTAGCCTGTAAATAATCCATTAGATGATGATTTTCTCCCATCTGGAATGTAGAAACTGCCATCAGGTACTTTTGTGCTTAAGAAGCTACACACAAATCACAGGCACCACTCATGGGGGTGTATATACCAGAGCATACACTAAGGAATAACCCATAATTCAGGAATAACCATTCTAAAAAATCACAGCTTCTCATGTTACATAAAACAGTTTGGAAAAATTAGACTTCCCAAAGGACAAAGGCAAAGCATACTTAGAGTAAGAGGAAGGACTGAAGGAATATGGGCGGTTTGTGGCAGGAGAAACTTAAAGGAAACAAGTCCTGAAATTCCTTACAAAGGAGGATGGTAGGCAAAAAATCCACAGAAGGGTGTAGAAATGGGTTTTGTAAGACAAGTTTTTATTGAGAGTAAGTTTTAAACTGTAAAGGTGAGTTATGAATTGGAAACACTGCCAAGGGCAGCTGTGGAAATGCCTTACCCTGAGGTTTTCTAGGGTTGTCAAAGAGCTTGAAAAAAGCCTGTGAGGGACAGCTTGGGCAGAGATTGTGCTGTGCTGAGAAGGGGCTGCAGGAGAAGTTTCCTCAGAGCTCTTCCAGATTTAAATTTTGTATCATTTTTCAATCAACAAACAAAGGTTTCCCAGAGCAGAATGCTGTGTGTGAACTCAGTGACCTCAGTGTGAACTCAGAACATCAACCTTCACTACAATGAGTCCTCAAACGCAGGCCTTCAGTCCTGTATTTGCAGAGGTAATATTTGATTTTCAGATAGGTTCTAACTGCAATTGAATATTTAGATGTTTATTCCTTGGGGGTGGAAAAAGCTCAACAAGATGCATGGTAAGTCCCACCTCTGTTGGCTGATGAGGAAAGATACATTTGCCTGCACACACACATCAACCATGCACTGAGATGAGAGCTGATCCCTCAAGAATTAGATGAAACAGACCTCTTAGCCATTCCAAAGACAGAAAATTATTTATTAAGGTTTAGAGGTTAGTTTATAAATAGAATTGTTGGGAAATAGAGTTCAAACACACCTAGAAGACTTATTTCAGGAAATCCTTGTGGTTCACACTGTTCCTGTTAAACATAAGAAAGAGCTTGTAAATCTATCCAGGCAGCAAAAGTTTATACATAAAACAAGGCTGTGCTGGAACAAAATGGTGGCAAAGCAGCAGCCAGGGATTGCAAACAGATCTCAGGGCTGCACTGGAAGAAAATGCCACAGAAGAGCTAAATTCAGGCCACAGATCCAAAACCTCCTAATAAAGGCAGTTTAGAGAATCCTGGAAAAGAAAAACTTCATGCTGCCAGAGACAGAAACATTAGACACAGCCCATTAAAATGCATTACACTATGGGTCTGAAACTCTGCAGCACAACAGAATATGCTTTGGATTAGACTAATGCAGCATCTAAATTCACAGGTGCCAGCTCCACACTGGCTGGCTCAGAGCCTTCAGGTCTTGCAGTGAGAGCTCCAGTCACTACACAGGGATTTCTACATCTGTGCTCCAGAAAGCAACATGACTTTCAGGCTAAGAGTTAGTCAAATATTTTTCCCTGACCAAAATGGAAGGCATAGCCAAAATCTAACAGACTAAGAGGCGGAAATATCTGAATACAAACTGATTTCTTTGGTGTCTTGACAGCAGCCTCATCTGAACCAGCTATCACACACTGAGCAACCAGTCTGACTCCAGTGCAGTCTCTGCTTCAAAGAACAGAAACTCTCCTCTGCCAATAAATTATTATTTTTTTAAGGCAGATTAGTAGTTTATTTTGCAGGACTGGAGAAAAAACATTCCTATCTCTGGAAGAGAGCCTGGCTCAACAGACTAACACCAGGAGCTGGCCCTTGCTCCTGGTCTAGGCTACACTAATCCATTGGCTTCTGCTCATCCTTCACAGCCAAGGGGATGCTTTGCTAGTCAGAAGATGGAGGTTGAATACATGTAAAAAGCATCAAGGATTAAAAAACCCCATCAAACTGCAGTATCTGCAGCCCAAGGGAACATCACCAGCACAAGACAGACAGCTCCACCCCACATAACCCGTGATAAGGGACAAAGAAGGGAGGCAGCAAGGAGAGGTTTTGCCTCTGCACCTACAGCCAAGATCCTCTTCTGAGTGAAATCCCACAGATACACACAGATCTGGCTCCCACTCTGCACTGCATCACTGAACTCCATCCTGGCTGTGAAGTTTTCCAAGGCCTTTCACTGCACTTATCAAATCCTTTTTGCCATTTTATGGAAGGAAATAACCAAAGATACCAATCATTTAAAGTCATGGAGCATCAGCAGCCTTCTCTCCACCAGCAGCTCTGGACTGAGCTGCAAAGGCTCACCCTGAAGTGCCAAGCCTTGAGAGAGCTGAGCAAAACCAAGGAAGTGACAAGAAAGTACAAACAAAGGCTGCAAACATGGAAAATCCTGCAAGCCAGCAGGACCACAGCCTGAATACTCTAAATCTTCTGTCAAACTTGGGAAATTGGCTAAATCACTTAAGAGCCAAATCTAGGAAGCACACACCCTCCTGGGATCTGAGGCTGGGAGAAATTTCTAGAAGAAAGCTTTAAATCCTATTTTTCCCCTCCCCTTTGATCACTGTCTGAACTCAACAACTGCAGTCACAGGCAGTGGAAACAGGATGCAGCATCCAAGGCATGGCAAGGAGCAAGCATGCAGCTGACCTGCCAGCTGGGGGACATCAGCCCAGGGAAAAGGGCACTTCTGCTGGGATTTGTCAAGGACAAAGAAATGGAAGTTTTACTTTAGTAATGTACCAATCAATCCCATCCACTGCAAAGGCCAAAAATAATCTTCATTCTAAGGAGTTTAAAGTTAGAAATAAACAAAAATGCATAAAAATGCAACATAGAATAGGGAAATGTTCTACTATTAGCAAAAATAACATATAACCAAGAGTAAAAAACTTTAAATAAAATAAGAATAAAATTTTAAAACTCACTAAAGCCACTGAATTTTTAGATGTGCATTTCTGCATTACAGTTAATTAATAACACCACACAGATCAACCTTGAAGAAGAAAGACTTTGAGCATCTCTGATAAGAAATTTGACTATACAAAAAGCCTGACTCAGACACTTTGACTATACAAAATTCCTGACTCAGACACGTAAAAATAAAATTAAAGTAAGATGCCTTAAGAAAACTTAAATTCTCTAACAATGTCATCTCTGGTAAAAGGGAAGTATTACCTTTGGTCTCTTGAGTTACCAGTCTCCCTGGAGGAAGATGTTGGCAAAGACAGGCTTTTCTTTTTGTCCTCATTTTTTTCCTCAGAAGCATCTATGTTCAAAAAAGGAATAAGTTCAGAACTGATCTTTATGCTGCAGCCCTGACTATACTCCTCAGTGTTTTCACACTACCCACTGTTGGCCTAAAGTTACTGCTCTCCCAAAAAGAATCAGGAGAAAATGCCTTTATGGCCTTCCTGCTTCCCAACAGACCTTTTCCTTGCCTCCAAGTAGAAACTAATTCAAACAAAAGCCTTCCTCACCAAACTAGAGAGCAGTCTCCCTGCCTGGGAGATAAGCTTCCTCACAAGACAAGCCTCTTCACAAAAGTTTCTTTCAGAGGCTGCTGAGCAGGGATTAGATCAAGTTCTCTCAAGCACAACTAAAAGCAGAATTTCCAGCCAACACCAGCTGAAGGGCCAGTACAGGCTGGTCCTTGTGGAACTTCTTCTGATTCCCAAGTGCTGCTGAAAGCCAACAGCACAACCCTGGAAAGGACCTTCTTGACACTGTAGAACAAGTTTGACCCAGAGGTAAATTGTCTGAGTCTAGCCAATACACACCTAACCCAATGAGGAGGTCACAATCCAGGCAGCACAGGAAAAGAGCCCTTTTAACACTCATCCAGCCTGGCAAGAAATGAGAGCCCATAACAGGGAAAGCCTCCCCAGCTGGAAATGGTCCATGTGAGTTTATCTACAAGATGGTGAACTCAGATCCTTCTCCAGCTCACCACCCCAAATCCATTCCAGCACTTCCCTTCCTGAGCTGCTGACAGCACACATGGTGCTAATGCCATGCAGAGCACAAGTGGGAGCAGAGGCTTCAGAGCACAAATAACATTGCTAATTATTATGTGATGAGGTATAAGTTAATAGTCCTGAAGCTTTCAATGCTTTTCCAATGATGAGCTGGCTAAACAGGAGCTAAATCTAGAGGGATGCATGATAGGACACAAAACTCGAAAGACAGAGAGGGTGGAATTGTAAAGGCTGATTTGCTAGAATGTTTATTCAGATCAAGAGATAAGCTCTCCCAAAAAACTCAGCCTCCCACTGAAGGCAGCTTGTTCACAAGCTGAATCTGACAGGAACATGCTGATTTCCTTACCTAGAAGTTTCTTCCAAGATTTGATGAGGGATTTGGCAAGTGATATCACTTCTTCATCTGTGCTCTGCTTCCTCAGCGCGTTCACCGACATCCCAATGCGGGTGGACTGCAAGGGAACACCCCAGTGAACCACTCCAGAACACACTCAATATTATTAACTGAAATCTCAAATAATCATGACAAAGTCAAAGCCATGACCAAGACAGGAGTATCCAAAGGCTTGCAGAATGATTCTGTGACCCTTACAATTTTGGAAGAGCAAGGTGCACCCTCCAGCTTGCACAGCTGAAGAGAAAACACATCCAATCTCCCACAAATCCCTTCCCTGCACACTTGTGAGTGATATTCAAGCTTAGAGTGAAAAACTCCAAGACGCATCACAAACTCCAACTTGTAATTCTGCTCACTCCTCCCCAGTGTCCTAAATATCAACATTACAAAGAACTCTCCCACGACTGCCCTCTGTGTTTGCTACTTTAACCCAGTCTTTCCCCTTTTTGCAGCCTACAAACAAGATTTGAAGTTACACACATGGTGACCCAGAGCTTTAACTGCCAATTCAAAACCCAACTTCTGCACTATTTTGTTGGATTTAATGTTTATTTTTATTCTTTGCATGAGGCGAGAAGTGTGAGGAAATGTATTACTTAGACAACATTTTGAACTCGTCCAGATGTAAACTCAAGCTTTTTACCATAACTGTGCAACTCACCTGCAGTAAATCCAAAGTCATAGGCATACTTTTCAGTTCTTTCAGTAAATCCATCGCACCTTCCTAGAGAGGAAAAGAGAAAGAGAATGAGTGCCTCAGCTTCTATTAAAGGAAATTCAACAGCTTGGGAATAGACACAGAAAGTTGAATTCAAAGGGAAGAACACCAACAAGCATTCCCTGAAACATCAGCAAATGCACTGCTGGGTGCTGTTCCACACAGACAGCAGATCCTGCAACCTGAAGGCACCTGAATCATTGGAATGGGCAAAACAGAAGATCAGTGGAGTGCTACAGGTCCTTGCTTGTGTATGGTGCAAGTGCAGCCCTAGTTTATTATTCTTACCTGGCATGCTGAACGTTTTTAACACCTGAAAACCACACTCTGAATTACAACTATCAATGACTCCATGTAGCTGTTTCCTGGTTTTCATATTAATACCCCACTCTGCTCAGGAGAAAAGGGAGACCAGAAGCAAAGCCAGCAAGCTGTGATACTGAAGAGCTGGTCACTTGAAACTTGTTCTGTGAAGTCTCGTAACATCATCTCCACATCCCAGAACCCAGGACCAGGAAATATCTGATGAGGAATCTGTAGATACCTAAAATTGGCAGTCACTCAGAGAACTGGAAATCACTTGTCTCCCTCCAGCACATCCCAGCCTGGCCTAGGCCTGTCTCCATTCAGCTGGCTCTTTCCTCCCAACCCCCTTCCCTCAAACAAGGCTTCCAGTGTTCACATTTAGCAGCTCATTTACAACACTGACCACTCCAAGCCCAGTTGCAGCACAAGGCCTGCACAGCCACCATTGTAGGGGAGCCAGCCCTGTCCTCACATCCCATCCTCTCTGTGCACAAGGGCTGCTTCCAACTCATGCCAGGAAGCAATCCAGCTGCAATCCACCCTAAAGAACAGATGCTCGAATCAAAGCAGAGTCAAAGCTTTCAGCGTGCACACAAGCAACTCACACCAGCCTAAACCACACACATTTACTGTACCCAGAACGACTGACTTGCCCCCCAGGCAGTTCCACACCTTCCAGTTCATCCAGCCCTGAACACCCAAAGTGACCCAGTCTGACTCCAAATGGAGCCACAATGGCAGCAAGTGAGGATCCACGAAAAAACTAGAGCAACAAACAGGTACTCCAGCAAACTGTCCTGCAGGAAGAGTTCTAAGATCAGCCAACACACAACATGCTGTAGTTCATCACTGTCTCAAATGCCAGCCAAGAGGAAATGTTGCATACTCCTCCTGTAGAAGCTGCCTCTTTCCCAATGGAGCTGGAAGCAAATTCTGCAAAGTTGTTCCTTTCCTATTTCAACACTGATGCTGAAAACTTGCCACCAGCAAGAACAGACATCACAGGCTGTGGTTTAGCCCAAACACACTTCCCTGGGCTGTTCCAACAGTGACACAAGTGATAGCGCCCGCCCTACCCACAGCTGGCAAGGTCAGTCCAACATCCAAAAGTTCATGTGATAACAGCACCCAGCATCCCACCACACGAGTACCACATTCCTTTAATCCCTCCCACTCCTCAAACATCATCTCCCACTCCCAGCCCCAAAATCCCTGTTCCCCAGCCCAAACACAGATGTACAGCCTACCTCCATCACAAACCCTTTCTGCCTTAGCACTTGCATGACACTGTTCCTACAAGCACTGATATATCCCATTAAGCTGGAAAGCACCGGCTCCTGTCCCCCCAGGCTGTCACACGGGTCACAGCACACCCTGCCAGAGTCCCCAAGTGCAGACAGCAGCTTGGCCAGCCCTGCACACTCCAGAGGCCACAGCAGTGAGCAGCGGTGCCAGTGTGGGATGGAGATGGAGGAAGCAAATCCATCAGCACCGGGGCTTTCCCCGAGGGCAAACCGGACCCCGAGCCGGTGCGGACTTCCCTTCCAAAGGGCTCCCAGCGGGACAGGGGAGCAGGGCTGGGGATGCTCTCCAGGAGGAGAACACCGAGCAGGCAGCACAGGGTGAGCCCCGGAGGCCTGAGATGCGGGCTGGGGATGCCGGAGGCCTGGGGTATGGGGACTGGAGGCTCCCACAGCACCCTAGGGGGCACATAGGGCTGCCCGCCCAATAAGTGGCAGTGGGTGGATCCCACACCTCCGCAAAGGATGGGGACAGGAGAGGGCGACGGGGCTGCGGGAGAGAACCCCACTTTAAAGGGGGGAGCGTCTGCTGCAGCACGATGTAATGAGCGGGGCGGCACTGGAAGAGAGGCTCCCAAAATGGGGTCTGGGGGGAGGGAGGCTCCTGACAACGGGCACCGAAGGAGAGGCGGGGGTCCACCAGCGCGGGACAGAGAAGGGGATCCTGCGGAAAGGAGGGGGCGCGTCCGCCAGACAAGAGCCCGGGGCAGGGGGCGGCTCCCCACGCCAACCGGGCTGCGGGGGCCCTGCCGCCGACACTCACCGCGTTCTTCTTGGCCACCATCTTGTCCAGGCGCCTGGCAATGCGCACGATCTCGTCCTCCCCGCCCATCTCGCCGCTCCCCGGGATCGGTGCCGGGGCCGGACGGGGGTCCGGGCGGGGGGAGCTGCGGTCGGTACCCGGTGCCCACCTCAGTCCCCGGTGCCGCAGTCAGGGCGGGCGCACGCGGGGCACGACGGGAGTTGTAGTCCTCGGGACGCCAGCTCCACCCGCCGCCTGCCGGAGCGCAGCCCACGAGTGGGACTCCAGCTCCCAGCGTGCCCCGCGGCCGTCCCGTGCGCTGCCGCCCGGCCGCCGGGGGCGCTGTGGGGGCTGCGGTTCGCCCCGCGGAGGGGGCTCGGAGCGGAGCCGGGGCTGAGGGACCCCCGGTCCCTGTCCCCACCCGCGGGGCTGTGTCACGGCACGGCAGGAACAGCCGTGTCCCAGAGTGCTGCTGCGGCTCCGGAGGAGGCCACCGAGATAATGAGCAGTGGAGACAGGCTGAGAGCTGCGGGGTTCAGCCTAGAGAAGAGAAGGCTCCGGGCAGACCTTTAAAGCCCCTTCCTGTGCCTTAAGGCGCTCTAAGAGAGATGGAGGGAGGCTTTGGACAAGGGCCTGGAGTGACAGAGCAAGGGGGAACGGCTTCACACTGGCTGAGGGCAGGATTAGGTGGGGTATTGGAAATAAATTCTTCCCTTTGGGGGTGGTGACAGCACTGGACAGGGTGCCCAGAGTGGTTGCCCCTGGATCCCTGGAAGTGTTCATGGCCAGGTTGGATGGCGCTTGGAGCAGCCTGGGATGGTGGAAGGTGTCCCTGCCCGTGAGAGGGGGTTGGAACAAGATGAGCTTTACAGGCCCCTTCCACCCCAAACCATTCTGTGACTGTTGTCCATGGCTGTGCTGAGCCCTCGGAGCAGTGCTGGATAAACTGCTGGATAAACTGGATAAATGATCCCTGAATAAACCGAGGCTGTGCCCCTCACACGGCCTTGGGGTCTGGACAGCAGTTACCGGTGGCGAGGGGATGGATGCTTTGGGGGGCCAGGCTGGACCCCCTGTAGATGGCACTCGCACACTGTGCGAGGGCAGCGCGTCCCCCGGGAGCTGCAGCTGAGCGCTGTCGCTCCCTCCAGCTGGTTCCTGGCACAGGGAGAGCTTCCATGCACAGCCGCCTGCACAGCCCTGGCCAAGCGCTGCTTCAGAGACGGCCCAGACTGTGCTGGTGAGGAGCGACCGTGTCCTGCCCCGGTGGAGCTGCCGATCACGTGAAAGCACGGGGATATGCTACGTGTGGCCTCGGGATGCGCAGGCAGGTTTTGGGAACCAGAATTCCCAGCACTCATCTCCAGCTGCACTCTGTCCTGGGGCAGGCTGAGTCACTGAGGGCATGATCACAGACTCACAAAATTAGTAGGGTTAAAGGGCTTGGAGATCGTCCAGCCTCCCTTCAAAGTCAGTGTCACCTAAAGCAGGTGACAAAAGAACTTGTCCAGATGGGGTTTGAATACCTCTAGAGAAAGAAGTATTGAGCAGATCAGTGCTAAAGCTCTGATGGTGCCTGACCCCCAAATCTGCCCACTAGCAAGCTGCCAGCTTGCTGTTTTTTATAGCAATACCATGGAGATTTATAACAATACCATAGAGCTCTGCGATCCCCTTGAGCAAGAGCTGCACCCTGGATGTGTAAGACACGTGTCAGTTCATCCCTGAAGCAGCAAAGGTGGTCCCAGACCAAAAGTGAGTCCTGGGCCCTCTCCCTGGCATGACACCTTGAAACTTCCTGGCTTGACCTCATGTTTGTGAACACAAGTTCCCTCCACTCCACAGTCTGGAGACTGTGCAGCATCTAGAAATCCTCCTACCCTTGGCAGGGTCTGGCTGTGGAGTCAGGGGGTGCCATTTTGGAGAGCCCACCTCTGTTGGGGAGGAGGAAACAAGTCCCAACAAGGGGACCTTGTGGAAACGAGCAGCTGCCTGTCCCGTGTGTGGGCTCGGGTCACGCCGGTCCTTGGCGTCAGAGACACGCTCGAGCGGCACTGCTGCCACTGTCAGTGTGGTTTGTGTCGCTGCAACGCAGAGATGGTTCCTGACCACAAGTATGGCCGGGGACGTGTCTGAGATTCCAGAGCTCACAGTCACTGATGCCGAGCGCCATCACCCCGTCTCTCCCTGCCTCGAGCAGGAGCCATCACCCTGCCAGCGCTGCCCTCCTGCAGTGGCAGCCAGCCTCACCCAGGGCCCACCACTGCCTGCCTGGCAGCAGGTCCCCTGGGACAGAATGGCACAAAATCCTCATACCTGCTGGGCACATCCCCTGCCCCTGTGTGCCCAAGGGCACGGGCCAGCTCTGCAGCCCAAGCCTGCCGGCCTGTGGCTCCGCTCTTCCCAAGGGTTAACAGGACACCACAGGCCAGGCGCTTGCAGAGCAGGGAGGGTTTCTGGCTGACCTTGGCTGGGAAGCAATGGTGGCGTCGCTCAGCCCTGCCCCCCCAAGCGTGGAGCCGCTGGCCGGAGCGCTCCCCAAGCCTGGGTGGAGGTAGATCCAGAGGAAACTCCACCTCCGCGGGAGCCAACCTGCTATTGCAGGAATTCCCAGAGAAATTCCCGCTTGGGGTGATCTGTCAACGGATCCGTGAACTTTCTTTTACCTCTTGTGAAAGCAGCTACTTGAATGTGCTAAAAACAGAGCAGGGGCGAGTCCGTCAGGGAGAGGCTGGGAGGGGGCTTTTGCTGACCCCTGCACGCCAAGAGACTCCCTGAAAGTCTCTGTTTGTGGTGCCTCGCTGGCAGCTGCCCTTGGCAGGCAGATCTGGGAGAGCCAGGAGAAGTTTCCTGCAAAATAAAACCCCACAAAATCTCACCTGTTTTTTCCACTGGGCTACTGTATTTCCCAAGCAACTCTCAGCAGATTTGAGCACAGCAAATGGGCTGGATCAAGTTGCTTGCACTATCCCCAGTAAGTTCAAGTCATTTGGAGATCAGCCATCAAACCCCACCCTTTCTCTGCTCCCAACCACCACAGGCTTGGTCTGGTCCACTTTTGGAAAAAGCAGAGATGAGAGGCGCTCCTGAGCCTGCCTTGTTCATCCACCCACCACAAAACCCACAGGACAGCACTGTCCTGAGACACCCCCTAACTTCAGGGGTGCCTAGATCTCCAGGACCTCAGCCTTGGAGGACTGGTTGTCCTGGGTGACACACTGGGCTCTGAGCTGGTAATGAGAGACCCCATCCAGAGAACAACAGACCATCAGTAGCTGGGAGATGCTGAGGCAGGAGCACCACTTATTTTGGGGAGAGGTTTTGATGTGACTCCCCTCCTTTTCACCCTCAGCCTTGGCTGGAGGGCTCCTGGCTGATCCTCTAACCATGTATTTGTGCCAGCCCTGGAATGGAGGCAGGGATCTGCCTTTTCTTCCCCTCCTTGCTGCAGCTGCCTCAGGTCCTTAATCTCCTAGCCCTGGCACTGGGGACATTTGACCCTAGAGCAGTCAAATACTCCATTAAAACACTTAGGAAACCTGGAGAATGTAGCATGAATGGTGGCTTATATTTTGGTCTTACAGACCATCCTGTTTTCTCCTTTGAGCAACCAAGGGACCTCTCCACACCTCCTCTTGTGGCACAGCCACTCCTAACACAACAGAAAGCATCATGGTTCCCAGGAGATATTTTAGAATTCATGCATGCCATTCTGGAAGAGCAGCCCACAGAGGCTCTGTGTCCTCCACATCCCCCCACTGCATCTGTCCTGGAGCTGCAGGTGAGCACCCGTGCCTGGGGACACTGCCATCTGGACCTCCTGGGACAAGTCCTACACCGGGAAAAGCTGCAGGATTTGGCTACAGTGGGCAGCAGCTGCAAGGGGAACATGGCCAGGACCACCCTGTGTGCTAGCCCAGCCTCTGCCACCCTGAGAAATGGGGAGCATGGAAGGGAGGATGCAGAGGAGATGATGGCTCCCATGGGCCCTGCTCATCGTGAGTGCCAGGGTGGAGTTTGGACCTCCAGCTTTGCAGATGCTCTTCTGAGACATTTTGGATTTTCCCTAAACCTCTTCCTCCTAACGATTTTAATTATACTGGCTGCTGTTCAAAACAATAATGACAGGGAGAGGAATAAACGCTAAGCAGCAGCCTGTCACGCTTTGTGAGATGCCCTCGGGGGACACTGGGCCAGACAAGCAGCCAGCCCAGAGCTATGCCAGCCAAGTGGGTGCAGGCTGCCACCCCACATCAGCCACCAGCAGATGGTGGGTCTGGGCTGGCCTGTGTGAGCGTGAGAGCCTGTGCAGGCACTCAGGTCTCCTTTCTCTCCCCCTCTCTGTCTCCTTTTATTCACCTCCATAAAACATAGGAAGTTCAAGCCATTCATTTTGCTATTTGTGTCTCCTTCCCCACGCCCCGGTTCCCTCCCTTGCCCCCTGCAGCCTCTCCTCTCACTGCCCAGCATCCTTGACCCCGAGAAGTCTGGTGTGTGTGCACTTCCCTTTTGGCCCATGGAAAGCACCACTCTGAACTGGTGCCTTGATAAGTCTGCTGTGGGAAGGCAGGGGCTCCTGGGCTCCCACACAGGGCTTTCCCATGTAGCATTTCCTATGCTGTCCCTGCTCACCCAGGGATCTCCAGACCTGGGCAGTGGGAAGCTCTCTGGATGGCAGTGCCCCTCCCTGGCAGCAGGTGTGACCTCCTCGGGATCTCTGACTTGCTCTGTGTCAAAATCCACGGTGGAGGCATTCTCCTGAGGAAGAGAAGGAGGAAAATGGTTGAATTCTTATGGGGTAACATGGCACCTCTGAGTTCAGCCACAGTAAAAGATTGCAAAGGGCTCAAACACCCCAGCCCCTTCCTCTCAATGCTTTTGAAAGCAGAGCTCTGATAGTGTCTCCCACAGTTTGGGATCAACAGGAGCTGTGTCCTGTCAGCAAAGGAGCAAACATGTGGCAGAGCACACAGGATTGGGATGGAAACCTCAGAGGGGCTGGAGACAGGGACTGCCTGGCAGAGAGGGAGGAAGGAGAGGCTCAGCGAGGAGGGCTTGGGCCTTTTCCATGAAATAACCTCAGCATTCAGCCGTGGTTTGCCGGAGGGCGAAGGCAGCGTGTTCCCTCCTCAGTGCCCTCACCGAGCAGAGCCAGGTCACCGCGGCTGTGCCGTGCCCTCTGCTCCCCGCGGCGATGGCAGCGCTGATAAGGACCTTGTCCCGC